ATACACATACCTACACCCACACCCACACCCACCCCACACCCACACCCACACTCACACCCACACCCACACCCCACACCCACACACCCACACCCAAGCAAATGGGAAGCAGTTATTGAAGTAGATGGCGATTATGCTCCAGAATGATCATTTAAACATGTTTTGAGTGTACTTTGGTGTTGTATTGTTGAATAAATTTAGAATCAATAAAAACGGTCGTTAATTTTGCATCAACCCAATATAATAGTAAATATATGAGCAATCCATATCAGTTTATGGTATATAAAGACCAAGAAAATACATCATCATGACCTAAAATAGATACAAAACAAATCAAATTTCAACTCCGACTTTTAATTGATCGGAATACAGTCGTTGATATTGCAAGCGCACTGTAGATTGGCTTCAGAAAAGATCTGTATAAAAGCTAGGTTTTTTGAGAATATTGCACTAAGATTTCCTTATTGAGGAGTTCCGATAAAACTTTGACTTTCCAGGTTGACACTGAAATTGAAGAAATAAGGAATAATTAGTTCACAAGAAAGTTTCGGTTTAGAACTTTCCTTCAAAAATTCTTGTATTATAAATCTAACGATTTTTTCAAAAGAGTGCAGTCTGGGCTCAGGTGGCGTGTAAATCAAAGAGAATGATCTTATGGGAAAATAGAATTAAACATGGCAGCAACTAGCCACTATGTTGGAAAACTTCCTGTAGGAACGCTTCAGACTGTTAGAATTCGACAGATAAATGTCAACGGCCTGAGTCTAATGGGTTTCAATAGGGACTAGAAGTGGTAAAGAACGGAGAAATATTTTGAAATAAAGTGCAAGAACAGTTTTTCTGCGCACGCACACTATCTGAATAGTACATTCGACGGAAAATATGACTCGAAGAATTTATATTCACTTCATTGAAAAGAAATTTAAATGAAATAAAAGGAGTTTTTCAGTTGCTGTGTGTCCTTGTCTGTGTTCATTCACGTGTCTGAATGTATTCGAGTATCCTCAGGTCGAGGATTTTGGCAGCCGAAAATAGTCGGATTTCGCTGGAACCCGCAGGAAAGATGTGGGAAAAGACATCGTATCCGGCAGAAAAACACCAGAAATCGCTGGAAGGTGGCAGCAGTATTCCAGTCGGAAAATTTTCCGATTTTTTTCGGTGATTTACGGCCGTCTCCTCCCGAAAAGTACAGGAAGTTGCCCGGAATTCACCAGAAAAAATCCGAAAATTTACTGACCGGAATACTGCTTCCACCTTTCAGTAGTTTTCGATGTTTCCCTGTTGGAACCGGTCGGTGCTTCGTGACCTGGGTCTACAAATTACCTATCTGATTTAAGAGCTACTTTGAGTAGGAACGTCACTCAAGCGGCGCATTCCGATTGCAGGTCAGATCTAATATGATATATTTTAAGCTATAAGTTTGTTAAATTTATATTTTTGTAGCAGACGCTGCAGCAAACGACATTGCCAGTTGATGTGCTGGTAACCACACGGACTTTTAGCTGAGTTTTCAAGAAGTACGGCACGTTTTCACACTAGTGTCGCGTATGTGTTTTGCTTCGTGATTCTCTTAATGAATTGGATATAGTCTCTATTTTGGGTGCATAGATACTGCTGTCGCAGTGTAATTCATTTAGATTTCCTTTGAGTATCAAGATGTGGGAATCAGTTTGAGTAAATAAATTTATGACAAAAAATCATCACATGGACACCCAAACCATTGTGCACAACAAGATTGACTCTAATACCAACGTCCACACACTCACTCACCCTTTTTCAAACGTTGGATACTAGCTGTGTTGAGAGCCGTAAAGCAGTATATAATATCGAAAGAGCCGCATATTCAGTCGAGGGTTAAGTGAATCACACGGAAGAGCGTTAGTTGTGTTTGTATATGTAGTAAAAGTAAAGCTTAATTTAGAAAAAAAAAGAGCTCTTTGGTGCCCTGCATCTTGATATACTCTTTAAAACAAAAGAAAAGTTATTGGTTACAATGAAGCTCTTTCAAGAATTTTGGAATACTAGATCAGAAAAGGATAAACGAAAAACTCGAAAAAGATTCTCCGATTTTTGTAAAAAACTCCTTATTTTTCGGGTAGGGAGTGACGAAGCTCCTTAAAAGTTTTTAGTAGAAACTATATACCAAATGAAAATCTATGTCATTTTCGAAAGAGCAGACTTTGGATTATCTTCTCATACACTCATATCAATGTCGTGTTTCTGATGAATATTGACGTTTTTTGAGGGGAGGAGGCCTTAAAGAGTTATGGTGATCATCTTTAGATAGCCCTTGAAAAATTATAGGGATTAGCCTAGTATATTTTAAATTAACTTTTATTTGATAAAAATGTCAAAATAAAATAATATCTTCTTCATTTCAATCACTTAATCACTTAATATTAATGAATTAAGTGATTAAGTGAAAAACTTAATTTTAATATTAAGTGTTAAGTAATAACTTTAAACTTAATTTTAAGTTAATGTAAATGGTCCATCCTGCCAACACCCACACGAAATTCTATATCGAATCATTGCGTTCCCATTTCTGATAGGTCATCGGGTAACTTACGATCATTAAAATGATCATTACTCAAGAGATCGATATTTGATCAAAATAAGAAGAGTTTGCTCCAATAGATGCTCATTCATCACTCGTCGAGACCTATCTAATGTAAGCAGAGAAGTAGGCTCAAACATAGATAGTCATCAGTCACTTTCATCGATCATCAAATCTAAAGACGCATTATTATTTTTCTATGGAACTCATCTTTTCAGTTTACGAAAATGATAATATTTTGAATCTAGTGTTTCTTACTTTTGAGTTTTCACTAGTCCTTCTTAAAAATTGAGTATAAGATTTTTTTCAGTTGAGAGTAAACTTTTGCACGCCTCTAACTAAAGAAAAAGCTTTTCTTGACTTTTGGATGGCATTTAAAGACCATGTTCGACAAATACGATATTTAATACATATAACTGATCGGTATGCTATTAAATAAAAGTAATACTTCGGAATTTTTCGAAGGTTCACAACGCGAAAATTCTTTAAAACTATGGTATGTTCAAGACTGCTGACGGATAAGCTGTTAGGATTTTATAAGGGTCGGTTAGAAACAGTTTAAAAAAAGGTCTTGAAATTTCGCAGTGGCTTAGGCCATTAGTTATATCAGCTGATTGGTATAAAAAGGGTCGATTCACGCGGAAGTTCCGCGGACTGATGGTATAAGCTTGAAATCAAAAAAAGTGCAGAACGATTAGTATGTAAAGTTTGGATCACCAAGCTGCACTCAAGAGTGCATGTCGAAGGTTTCGAGAGACAAAAGTCATGTTCTACTATCAGATTGAATAAGTACACACATCAGAAGTCGACATGAGAAGGATAAGAGAGGGTTCAGATTATATAGCAATGGGAGTCAATATTGAAAAAACGTTCTGACTACAGAGTTATAAACGAGAATAGGATAAAAAAGCTGTTAGCGCAATCTCTTGTGGGATTAAAAATGTGAAACACGATGAACCTATTGTTACTTATTAAATGGACTTCGTTTTCTTCCATTTCATTACGATAGATTTGTAGCTTACCGTTTATTTGATGCTTCAAAACTACAGCTTCTCTGTCACGGTCTGTGATGGCCTCTTGGGTATGGGTGTTGATGTGGATGTGAGTGTAGAGGAACAGAAAACTCATATCCATACACACACCCCACACTCATCCACATCCACTCACGCCCACAAATCACACCCCGTCTAGAATTTTAGAACCAAATGAGTGCATTTGTTATTCACTGACGGAATTTAAAACATTAATTAAGAAAAAATCAAGACTTCTACAGTTTATGTATAACTTTATAGTATACTGAGAACGAAGAAAGTCTCACTCATTTATCTTCGAGGATACAAATAAAACGACTTCAGCTCACTTCTTCGTCATTTTTTTTACTGGCTATGAATAAAAAGATGGTGATTAGCAAAAAAAAGACAAACCTTATTCGGTATATAAATAACTAGACTGCATTTATGCAAGCTATGGATAAATTACAATCCAAATTAATTGAATAAAAAAAATGAGTTAAAATTAACTAGAGATAACGCTAATTCTATTCCTTTGTTCATTTTCACTCGTGGTGCTCAAGATTTTTGTAGATCTGTCGGTATAGATTCACAATAAGTAAAATAAATGAAATGATAATTTTGCTTTACATTTTTCTGAAAAAAACAAACATAAAAGTCTCCTCAGCTATATCACAAAGTAATATTTATCATCGTAAATATGCTTTCAAAAACTAGTGGAACAGCACTCAACCAACGCAAGATTTTCATTATGCCACTGCTTTATTGGCAGAAATTGATCGATGACAGTTTTAATCGAAATTCTTGTTCCTTTCATGAATTCATTTCTCATGTAAACCCTTCATTTTTATTCTCTGTAAAGATTTTATAGTCTTTATATCATCTTGCAAGCTGATCTTTTCATGAAACTTTGTTATGAAATTTTTGGATTTTCACCGGCTATTATTCATGACCTGAAAATTCTACTTCATATTGAATAATCTAACAAATTAATGTGTGAATTGATTGTTCTCACAACAATAACCGTTATCAGTATAGAATACAAAGCAGTATCGCGCTGCTATCATTGAACTCAATGATGATATACAATTTTGTACTACTTCTCGGCACTTTATATCTATCGTTTTTGGTATTTTAGTTGCTTCTGTGATTTAAAAAACTTAAACAAGATAATGATCCTCTGAAAACAGAGTGTAGGCGTGGATGTAAACTTTATATGAACGCACACCAACACTCCATCCTACACTCATCCTCATCCACATCCATATCCCATACCTAGAAGAAGAAAAGAAAAACTATATGGAATCGTGATTCGACTAATGTTGTTGCGCCATTTGTTTACATAATTTAGTATTTTTAATTAACGTTTGTTCTGTAGTAGAAGGAAACATTTGAATTTTGTCCAATTCTAGATTAGATAGGACATATATACACATATGACGACATCCGTGAATGCAAATCGTCGTTTATTGGAAAGTGTTCGTGATGAACCAAAGAAAATGCTGCTTCCCATATCTGGCTATGAGAAAGTCAATGTTAAAACTCTTGATGAAGCTTGTGATCCGATAAAGCATATGTTCGATGAAACGTTACAACAATATATTACTATAGCCAAAATGAATTCAACCGAACCCGAGGATGGGCTCAATCCACATGAATCAGCAGCCATCCATCTATATACTATAGAATGGGATGTACATGAAAACAGTCTTTACATGATTTTAAATCGAACTCTTCGTCTGGCTGATCGTACAAAACTTCAGCCGTGGTTCAAGTATTTGAAACTGTTCCTTACAGGTTTTTACAAATTGCCGTGAGTAAAAAAAATCAATTTTACACTTAATATTTTCATATTTTTCGTGTAATAGACGTAGCCAAGACACACTTGTTTGGCGTGGTGTACGTGAAGATCTTAGTGGTCTTTACCCAAAGGGCAAGGAATTCACTTGGTGGGCATTCAGTTCGTGCACTGCTTCAATGAGTGCCCTTGAATCACCAAATTATTTGGGAAAATCAGGTGCAAGAACAATGTTCTCCATTCAAACCAGCAGTGGAAAAGATATCCGTGCTCATTCATATTTTGAAAACGAAGATGAAATTCTTCTTCCTCCGGGTATTTATCTTAAAGTTATTGATAGCTTGGATCCAGCTGAAGATTTACATATTATCCAACTCCGTGAAATTTCGCCACCATATCAAATGATTGCTGAACCTTTTGATCTTACTCAACTAAAGCAAACTTTACCACAACCAAAACCAATCGTAAGCAAAGAGCAAGACATCTATCCATCATTCAATGTTACACCAAAACCATCTGTACAAGCACTTTCAAAAAATGGCAAGTTACCTTTATTTTCTTGAAGATGAGATATTTTTTAAAGAAAATTTGGCTTATCATGTAAGAGATTTTACTAGAACATTAACTTTGAGCATCAATGCTCGAGAGATCACATTACATTTTAGTCAAATAGATCTAATCTCGTTGGTTGTCATTGTCTGCCCTTATTTACTAGAGAAAGTTTGAAAGTGACTTAGATCGGAAGCGAGATGTGGAAGAAACTAACTGAATTTTCTAAAGAGTAGAAAAAGATAGACGGAAATCTGACTCGTATCGTTACTAATCATCTTCTATCGATAAGAGAACAGAATTCTCCGACTAGCTAATGATTACCATTTGAAACTCAAATTCATATAGTCAGTTTTCATCATTTTAAATTTCCACTCAGTACAATAATTCAGTTTGTTTTGCTCAAACTAATGTGAAGAATAAAATTCTTTATTTAGAGATCTCACAACCTGCCAAACCAAAGTACAACTCACCATATTCTGACAAGAAACTAGATAGGAACTATTTATTATTAACTTAAGCTCCGAAAAAATTTCTCCTTAGAAATCTTAATCGAAAGACAGTAGAATAGATAAATAGAATTCTTGTTGTGATTATTCATTTGCCATGTCATTTTGATACATCTAACTAAAGCACAAGAAACTTGTGTCCAACAAATTAAGATAAAAGGATAAGCCATAAAGGTCGTCATGCTCCTTCATTCTCTGTGTATTCTCAGTGCAGATGTAAACTGGTTACCTCTGTCAGAAATAAACAACATACAGAAATGAAACCATGCTAAAAGTAATTAAATGCTTGTATAGACTAAAAAAAAAAGAATTTTTCAGAAAATTTTGATCTATGTTAAATGAAGTTTTTGAATAGAGTTCTTGCAAAAAATGTAATGATTGTTCAAGACGTATGTAATATGTTCTTCATTGACTGCTTCATTTTTCTTAGTAAAAAAGTGAACCAGTTAAAAGGTCGAAATTTTGGCAACTGTCGTTAGCAGCAATCATTGTCTCTGTCATCTGAAACTAGTGTGT